TACCAAGGCATTTTCCATGATTTTTCTGCTTTTTTCACTACTGGATCACGTATTATATGAGCTCCATAACTCATTACTCTTGTAAACGGGCTCAGCCTTTAAAGGCTAAGCCAGCACAGTTATGGCAGCCAGGTGGGCGGGGCGGCATCCTTTCAGAAGCGAGTGGCGCTACCCTCTCGTATTTTTGAGCTGCGAAATTAGTATTAGGTTGTCCGGAAAGTTCTCAGCGTTTTGAGTGTTTCACTTTAAACGATCATAACTTTCTTAATACTCATCGGATTCAATCGAAACAAGGCACCGTTCGAATCAGCACACTTTTGCCAATGTGACAGCAGTCGAGAAATCCCATCAAAGGAAAAAAAAAACTGGGTGGTCGAGAATCCACGAAATCCACGAAGGCTTTTTTTGCCTGGTCCTGATTGATGAAGTATTTTCCAGCAAGGAAGTTCTGAAAATGTTTGAAAAGGTGATAGGTGAAAGGTCTGGAGAATATGGCGGTGAGGTAGAACTTCAACCCCAATTCGTTCAATTTATGGATAGTGATTTGTGAAACGTGTGGGCGGGGTTGTCATAAAGAATCGGACCCTTTCTTTGACAACGATGGTTGCAATGCTGTCTGACGCAGTTTTCGGTGCATTTCGTCGATTCCTTCCAGTAGGGTTCTGCTGTGATGGTTTGGCCTGGTGATAAAAAGTTATAGTGGATCACACCAGCCGATGACCACCAAACTGTGACCAGAATCTTTTTTTCGTGGGTTCGGCTTTGGAAATTGCCTCGGTGGTTCGTCGGAATCCAAACCACTGTCCGGAACGTCTCCTGTTATCATACATGATCCATTTTTCATCACAGGTGACAATTCGGTTCAAAAACGGGTCGTTTCTGTTGCGCAAAAGCAGTGAAGAGGAAACCGCGAGACGTGCCAATTTCTGCCGGTCTCAAATTGTGGGCACCCCACTTGTCGAGTTTTTTCACCTTCCCAATGCGTTCCAGACCATCTGCAACAGTGGATTTGCCAACGCCTAGCTTTTCTGCAATCTCTCGAACTGTTTGGGATGGTCAGCCTCCACAAACGCCTTCAAATCCTCGTCAGGTATTGCTTTAGTCGACCGCTACGAGGTTCATCTTCAAGGCTGAAATCTCCAGAACGAAATTTGTCGAACCATTGTCGCACGGTGCTTTCTCCAACACTATTGGGCCCCCACACCTGGTTCAATTTGTCGAGCTGTCTCGACTGCGGATAACTGGATTTTAATGAAGAAAAATATCGTCCAATTGCTCTTTTGACATGCTTCAAAAGTCTTGGGAAAAGGGGGTTTATCAAGCAATGGTGAAACGGCAATTATACCATCAGATAGCGCAAAAATTCTCTTCAGGATGTACTACTGAGACGCAAGGGAGAATGAGTTTTTAATCAGCAATGAATGTACAAAAAATAGTAACACAAAATGCTGAGAACTTTCCGGACAACCTAATACATCCTCCACCCTTGTCGACAAGGCTACGATACTTAAGGAGGGCGTAGGAACAGCAAATGAACGCGGGCGCTGCCTTTAATGCTCCACTATCCTGGGTTTTGAGCGGAGATCGTATGCGTGACGCGACTTCAAGAGACTTATCAATGTAGCGCTTCATCAGAACAAATTCCACACAACCAAAAAAAGACAATTTCTGTAACTATGGGACGGGTCCTAAGCATCGCCTCTGACAACTTTGCAGAAGTGAACTTCCTTTCGAAACTACACGATTACACCAATTACAATCAAGTGTGAAAACACAAGCCGATCGTTTGGAAACATAATCCATGCTTGTTGGGTAGGCGGAGCCGAGCCTATAGTTGCGCCTTCCTCACTGGCGTGCTCCTCCTTTCTATAGCTTGATGGATGAAGCCATTTATCGACATATTGGTGGGATGCGACACGCACTGACTTGTGGGGCGGGCCGAGGTACAAGTCAATGTTTTTGTTATCCCAGATGATGGTACCAACGTGGCATTCCTTCCATCCCCCTCCCCCACGTAATAAAAAAATTTTGGTCCTTTCCGGCTTCTCCAGGTGGTGAGAGGAAACGATTTACAGGAGGGTAGAGGGCTTGGTCAGCCTGGGGCGGGCCTGCCCGGGTTTGACACCTTTGGAAGGGAGATATGTGGTAAGCTGGCCCGCTTACCACGTACGCAATTGGATTGTGTGCGCGGTGAGCGGGCCATGTGCCACCATACCATATCCCCCACACCTCCCTTCCAACACCGTAGAAAAGAATAAACACCTTACTGGGGAGGACACAATGATCACTACACCCGCGTCAACATGAAAGCGGCGAAAGAGACGTTAGAAATAGTGGCACGCGCGCCGCATTTGCACCAGGTCCTAATCTATTCAACGCGGCAATACGCAACGTATCCCGAAGAGTAGAAAGATAATTTTCGGATGGTTCCAGCGCGATGCCGTGCTTGGGAAGTAGCGAAACAGGCCCTGTGACGGTACGTCTTACACAGCTCAGATAACGAGCATGGAACGTGCTCCTGATTGTTTTTCTACAACAACGACTGTTTTCTGTTTTTCTACACCTCGAAAATCGCATCAGCCTGTTTTAACGAGGCCAAGTGAACCCTTAGCACGCTCATCTCTCCCTACTTGATGAGAAAACTAATTTGAATCGCTGCCGCCCCGTCCAGCTGATTCGTAATGAAACATCTAGTCCCCCACACCTTTTTGAAACTTTCTTCTGGCCTTCTCCCTTTGGATACTCGCGTTGACATTGCACTTTTTAGTCATATCATTTACTTGAATCAAGGAGAAGTCAACTTTTTGCACTACTCACAACCAGTCCCATTTCGCTCTTTTCACTGCGCGACGGGGAGCGATAACAAGAAAAAAACCATAACTGCAAATTGTTAGTATCCCTCGCAACACAACATAGAAATTCGTACCAATATTTCAATTTGTTCTGATCAATAGATTTTTTTTCATTTAAATGTCCTCTCGATTATTGTGTCGAAATATTCTTCTGCAAAGAGCACTGAGATGAAGAGGGAAGCGATTTTCAGAACAATGATATGTAATACAAAAATTCAAGCTAAAATAGCATTTTTCTCAACGAGTGCTGGTTCTATTTTCAGTGATCCCCAGAATACTCCACTAAAAAAGTTCCCGAGGCTCAGGTCTCGCAAACTGAGCACAAAGACCCTCAGACAATGTAGCGAAGGGGAGTCTCAAGAGCGACAGGTGGCAGGATAATAGAAACACTCCCTTGTACCAAGAAGGGAATGACGTCCAAAACAGCGTCTATTGGCTCTCGCTTGAAAATTAAACTTATCGGTTCGCACTATCAACCTTGGCAGCATCATACAAATAAGGATAGTTAAAGACAGGCAAAAGCACCGAAAGTGCACTCTCCAGAAAGAATTTGAGCTCCCTCTGTTTTGTATGGTATTACGGACGCGTGAAAGATAGTGATCTTCATCTTCCCTTTACTCCAATAAGATAAAAACTGTGCCGTGATATGTCCGTAAACTTGGTGGACGTTCGTGATAAGAGAGATACAGAAAGTGACAGCCTGCTCAGATTCGTCACCTCCTTACACAATGGCGTGATGTGACAGCCTACT